CATTAACTATGTAGTTTCACAGTCACACATGTAGACTTCCACAAGTCATTACTACTCAAGGTTTAACAGCTGATATGACTGGACAGCCATTTGGATTATAGGCTTATTTAATTTAATGCAGCAACAAATGATTTTATAGTGTACTAGGATCATTTAAAGTTGATTTACCAGCAGTGAAGGTGCTGTGTGTGAGGAAGAGCTGAACACAAGGATGCCCTCCACAAGGTTCACATTTAACCCAGGGCCAGCTCTTCTGCCTGGGTAATGTGGGGGTGCAGGACCACCACCTGTTTGATTTGCTTTTCTTTTTTTCTCAGCCTTTTTCTTGCTTTTATAAACAGGCAAACGTTTATTAACAGTGCCTTTTTAAAAGAGATTAGTAAGTACAAATTACTGTTATTCTAGCACTTCACTTTTACTTGTTCTATGTTCAGTGGGTGTGACTCTGACATTACAATGAAAAAAGTTATTAATTATTTAGAAATTATTAAAATATAAATAAAATATAAAAATATATACTGTAATGAGTGATAAAAACATCTAACTACAAACTTAATTTGTCTGCTACTTTTTGCCGGCTCTCTCTCCTGGCTTTTGCACACTTTAATGTGTTTCCTGCGTTTTAATTAAGTTTTCAAATTCAGCTTATCCTTCAAGCAATAAATCTTGCTCTTCTGTGGAGAAAAAAGCTGAGCGCGAACAGCCAATAGCAGCGTTGCTGATCAATGTTTCTGCTATCGATACATATCCCCTTTTAACCCAGCGCATGAACGCGCAATTATCTCACTTAACTCAATCCAGCTATCCACAAGTTTCCGAGGGGCGCTCCTGTAAAAAATAAAGTGGGTGAAACTTCCGGTGAGGCGGCGGAAGTAGCATTCCAATGGTATTTTGTGTGTTAGTTAGCGAAGAGGCTAGCTGTTTTTCGGAGAATTATTTTACTATTTAAAGACGCAAATCTTTATGAGAGATGTCGTTACGGAGCTCAGGGACAACATGTGCTGCTCGCGGTTGTATGTATAACCGGACTAAACTAGTTCAGTGGCTTAAACGTGATTGTTTTGAACATAAGCTGAAAACGAAATCAGAGTGATCCTGCCAGAGCCCGTCTCTGATCCTGCCAACGACCGTAGTTTCCATCACCTCCCAAAAGGCGACGAATCTTCATGAGTACATTTGTTTAAATTCTTAATATTCTATAAACTTTTATCAGCATGTGATTGGCTGTTCTCTATGTTGCACCTAAACTCAGGATCAAAGCCTGTGTTGACAGAATACCAAATGTGCCAGTTAATGTATTCAAGCAGCACATTCATTTATAATTTTGAATAAACTCCAAAGCACAATGACTAAGTGTGTATTTTTTATTTTAATTGTTTGTCAGCTCGCACAACTGTCTGTCACCATGCCTTGATGAGTATTGATTATTAATAATGTTATTATAATACTCCCAATCAACTACTGTGGAGGGTAAAGGTACTGTTATTTCACCTTTTTTAATTTCGTTGAGGTTGTGTTCCCACATCGTTAGCTAGTTTGGATCGCTATAACTTGAATGACTGTCATCTGTTGAATGAACGAGTGTCAAGCATGTCAAGTCGCGCTTTGTTTACTTCCAACCGGAAGTCGCGCCCACTTTTGACGCAAGGCCTCATGGGGCGTAGGAAACTTGTGGATACTAATCATAACTGGCAGGAGGGTTCGAAGAACCAAATTAGCTGGATCATGATGAGCACGATAATATCATCTTGGATGTCTCATTTGATCTCGGATGTTTTAAGCAACGTACGAAGAACGGGCCCCAGGTTTGCCATTATGTTGTTGTTGTTCTTCACTCGGACTCTCTGCTTTAGAGGAAGCCGTGAAAAAGCAGAAAGCAGGAGACGAAATGAGAGTAAAAATGTTCAGTTTATTGAGAAATATTCGGTTTCAATGCGCGGTTTAATTAATCTGAACAACACAAATTCATCAAGTGTCAATCAAACTGATCATCATCTCATAAAACCTTGAAATAGATTATATTGTCTTTAACACATGAAGACAAGTATTTCATGAACACATAGGCTACTAACATATTATCAAACAACACTAGCAAGCATATCAAGCAAGAAAATAATTGTATATTTGAATGACTTTAATGATTAAATGATTTTATTACATGGTTTGGTTGAATTCTAATGTATTCGCTGCTAAGTATAACTCACCATTGACAAACAGAGCGTTGCCATGGACACAGTTCTGTTCACTCTGGAGCAATACTCTCTTAACTCACATTATTATTTTAAAATGCTTTGAAAATCACAGAATAACACAATCACTTTTTTTCAGCTTTTCAATTTCTTCTAGTAGCTCTTTTCTTTCTTTTTCTTTCTGATCATGTTGCTTTTTCATTTCTTCTTTCTGATTTTTTAGCTCTTTTATTTCTTCTTCTCTGTGGTCTTTCAGGTGTTGATAAAGTTTCTTCAGTAGTTCGTGTTGTTTATGACGTTCTTCCAGCATCTCTTTGAGCTCCTGAATGTGCTGCTCTTTTCTCTCTCTGAAATCATTCATTTCTTCTGCTTGTTTTCTGGCTTCATCTTCATGTTTCTTCTTTATGACTTTTATTTTCTCTTCATATACCTTTTTAATTTCATCTCTCTCTTTCTCTTCACTTGCTTTTCTCTCTTGTTCTCTTCATCTTGTTCTTGTTTCAGATCTTCAATCATTTTCTTCCATCTCTTTTTCTCTTCTTCTCGTCTCTCATCATCTTCTCGTTTTCTTTTCTCCCACTCCTCCTTTCTCTCTCGTTCCAGTTGTTCATAATGTCTTTCCATTTTAGTTTAATTTTCCTCATATTCTCTCTCTTTTTCTTCTCTTTCTCTTCTCTGTTTCTCTCTCTCCTCCTCTATCTTCTGTCTTTCTTCTTCTCTCTCTCTCTCAAATCTCTTTCTCATTTTCTCCAGTTCTTCTTGTTTTTCTCTCAGTTGTTCTTCGTGTTTCTCTCTTCTCTTTCTTTCTTCTTCCTCTCGTTCTCTCATCTGGCGTTTATTTTTATCCTCCCATTCTCTCTGCTGTCGTTTAATTTCCTCTTGAATATCTTTTCTGTCATTTTCAGCCTCTTTTATTTTTCTTTCCCATCTCTGTCTCTCTTCCTCTTCTTCTTTCCTCCTCCTTTTTTCCTCCAAATCTCTCTTTTTAGTTTCGTCTTCTTGCTTTTTCTGTAATTCTGCTGTAATTCGTTCTTGTTCATGTTTCATCTTTTCTTGATCTTGTCTGTATTTCTCTTCTCTCTTTCTGTCTTCTTCTTCTCTTTCTTTTTGCTGTTTTTCATACTGTAATCTCTGATTTTCAATCTCTCTCTTCATCTCTTCTATTTTTTGATTATATTCAGCTTTTCTCTGTTTTTCCTCTTCTGATCGTTTCTGGTTTTCAATCTCTCGTTTCTTCTGTTCTGTTTTCTCTTTCTCTTCAAACTCTCTTCTCAGTTTTTCCTCTTTTTCTCTGATTTGATTCTCCATTTTCTTTCTCTCCTCATCTGTTCTTTGTTTCTCTTCCTCGAGTCTCTTCATTGTGATTGTCATGTCCATCTCATATTTAGCTTGTAATTCTTCTCTCTGATTCTGCTTTTCTCTCTCTTTCATTATTTGCTCCATCCTCTTTTTAATGGACATCTCTGCCTCCTCAAACATGCTGTTAGTGAAGTATCGACCCTCATTGGTGTTTTTCACTTCTTCTATCATGTTCAACAGTCGAGCTACTTGAGTTCTGTCTTGTTTTTCTCTGTTATTGAAAGCCAGGAATCTGTTTCCACAATCTCTGATCAGTTTCTTTAGTTCTGCCCAATTACTTCTCTTCAAATAATCTTCTATGGACTCATTCTCAAGATCGTCTCCTCTAGTGAACAGGACGATGCTGAACTGAGCAGATTTATGACCAAAGATCTTCTTTATCAGATCTACAGTTTCTGCTTCTTCTTTGGTGAATCTTCCCAGACTCAACACAATGATGAACACATGAGGTCCAGGTGACGACAGTGAAACACATTTAACTATTTCTTCCACCACATGATCATTTGTCAGTGTCGTGTCAAAGAGTCCTGGAGTATCAACAACAGCGACTGATCGACCATCAACTTCACCAACTCTCTTCTCACACACAGTCGTCACTGAATCTGAGCTCATTTGGCTGTGAAACTCCTTTCTTCCCAGAATAGTGTTTCCTGTTGCACTCTTTCCACTTCCTGTCCTCCCGATCAGCACAATCCTCAGACTCTCCTGATCATCTGATTGACCTTCAGCTCCTGAAATCATGCAAGAATTCATGTATTAATATAATCAGGGCTGCACATAACTGGTGTGTGTGCATTCGTGGTAAAAATGGAACTATTCGCACCAGATAACATGGAGGGAAGTGCTTTTGAGTACCAACATTTTTGGGCACACGGACACGTTTACTTACTGGATTTTTTCCCCTCTCTGGTAAGATAGCAATCATGATTAGGGAAGCACTATATATTTGTTTTAGCGATATCGCGGTATGCGCATCAAGGATAATCACATCACAGAATATTGTCACGTACAGGGATTAGTTGATCGGTCTGCCTCGAGTTACCGTTAGTCTAAACGGCAAGTAGGCTATCAGTTATATTGAGCCGCGTTTCCACCGCAGGAACTTTCCCCAGGAACTAGGAACTAGTTGGGTGGTACTCGGTTTCCACCGCAGGGACCAGGGTCTAAAAGAAGTTCCAGGTAAAAGTGTACATACCAGGAGACCGGAACCTGGCAGCCGACGAGCTGTCACGGATCCGCCCTACCTCCGGCGAATGGCGACTCCATCCCCAGACGGTCCAGCTGATTTGGGACCAGTTCATCATCATCCCACTGCGCCCAGTTTTACTCCCTGTCCGAGGGCACGCTCGGCACAGACGCACTGGCGCACAGCTGGCCTCCGGGCCCACGCAAATATGCGTTTCCCCCAGTGAGCCTCCTTGCACGGCTGTTGTGCAAGATCAAGGAGGACGAGGAGCAGGTCTTGCTGGTAGCCCCTTATTGGCCCACCAAGACGTGGTTCTCCGAACTCATGCTCCTACGGTGGCAGCAACCATCACTTCCGCTAGAGCGTCGTCCACGAGACACCTTTATGCGTTGAAGTGGAACCTCTTCGTCAACTGGTGCTCTTCTCGCGGAGAAGACCCCCGGAGATGTTCGATCGGTGTCGTGCTTTCCTTTCTGCAGGAAGGGTTGGAGCGTAGGCTGTCGCCCTCCACCCTCAAGGTTTACGCCGCGTCCCATGATGCAGTTGAAGGTAAGTCCATTGGGAAGCAAGACCTGGTCATCAGGTTCCTGAGGGGAGCGAGGAGGCTACATCCGCCTCGTCCTCCCCTCGTACCCTCTTGGGACCTCTCAGTAGTCTTAAGTGCTCTGCAGAGGCCTCCCTTTGAGCCTTTGCAATCAGTAGAGTTAAAGTTTCTGTCTATGAAGACAGCACTCCTGGTTGCATTGGCCTCCATCAAGAGGGTGGGGGACCTGCACGCATTCTCCGTTGACGAAGCATGCCTGGAGTTCGGGCCGGCTTACTCTCACGTGATCCTGAGACCACGGCCTGGATATGTGCCCAAGGTTCCCACCACTCCCTTCCGGGACCAGGTGGTGAACCTGCAAGCGCTGCCCCTGGAGGAGGCAGACCCAGCCTTGGCACTGCTCTGTCCGGTACGTGCACTCCGCACCTACGTCGACAGAACGCGGTGTTTCAGGACCTCAGACCAGCTCTTTGTCTGTCATGGAGGGAGCCAGAAGGGTAGGGCTCTCTCAAAACAACGGCTGTCTCACTGGATAGTGGACGCTATTGTTTTGTCTTACCAGCAGCAAGGCCGTCCGTGCCCCCTTGGTGTGACGGCCCATTCCACTCGGAGTGTGGCCTCCTCTTGGGCTTTAGCGCACGGCGCCTCGCTAACAGACATCTGTAGAGCTGCAGGCTGGGCGAAACCAAACACCTTCGCCAGATTCTATAATCTGCGAGTCGAACCGGTGTCCTCTCTCGTACTCGCTTCCGCCAGTACTGGCCCCGCTTAGGTGTCTTCGCTTGCTCGCCATTCCACTCTCGACTGGATAAGTGCGATATTCCTCAGTAGTCTTCCTTTTAAGCCTTGAGTCCTCCAGCACCCAAGATGTGGGCACCACTGCGTCGCTCTGGTTGCCGGCTAGGTGCCTCCATGTGCACGGTTCCCTATGGTAACTGTCTCATGTGTATTATCCACTGTAAGCCTCTCAGAGCAGGTGTCTTCCCTTGGCAAGCCATCTGCCACCCCTGGAGCCTCTAGTAACCACCTGCGGTTGGTGCTCCAGTGATCCCCATATGCGTCCCTACGCGGCCATATGTGTTTTGTAAGTCCTCCCTACGGTAGGCATCTGGTAACATCTCCCTCCCGGGATATGTTTCCCAGTGTACCTTGGTATTCTTGTGTCAAAGTAGGACTCCTGGTTAAGTAAGTCCAGTTCAGGGGTCCAGACTTTCGCAGGGCACTGGAAGACAGCTGTAAGATGGCGTGATGGCATTGACCCCCAATCTCCGTCACTTCTGACGTAACTCGAAGTGACTACGAAAGGGAACGTCTCGGTTACGGATGTAACCCTCGTTCCCTGAGTAGGGAACGGAGACGTTACGTCTCCCTGCCACTTCTGCTGTACCACTGGGTAGATGCCTGAATTCAGTCTTGGCTCCTCAGCGAAGACATACTGCGGTTGCGTTCACTTCCTCCTTTTATACTCACGGAGTAGGGCGGAGTACGCTATGCAAATTTCCGCAGCCCCAAGGCATTGCATGCCATTGGCTCGTGATTAAATACTCGAAGAGGATTGGCTTTCTATGCGAAATCCCCCAATCTCCGTCACTTCTGACGTAACGTCTCCGTTCCCTACTCAGGGAACGAGGGTTACATCCGTAACCGAGACGATCTTCTTAGAGCCTGGGTTTTTCTTCACAAACCTAATATCATTACTATATCAGAAACCTGGCTAACAATATAGCTGACGATATGATTAAAATTGAGGACTATGTTTTGTATCGATCTGACCGAACCTCCAGAGGTGGTGGGGTGGCAACTTATGTTTCTGCCTTTTTAGATTCAGAACATGTTATTCCTAGTATAGGCCCTGTTAATTTTGAGTGTCTTTTTGTTAAAGTTACTCTTCATGCAAATAAAAATTTAACTATTGGTAATATCTATAGGCCACCCTCTGCTCCATCTGACTCGATGATGTGTATTCTGTCAAAAAATTAACTCTCTTGAGAAGCACAATGAATTGATTATTCTGGGGGACTTTAACAGGAACTGGTTGGATCGTTCCTCTGTTAATGATAAAAATTTACTTGGCAGTTTAAATCTCTGTCAGTTAAATAATGTACCTACTAGAGTTGACCAGCGCTCTTCATCTCTGTTGGACTGGATACTCGTTACCAGGGCCTGAAATTAACTTTTTCGGCCACCGGCCACTGTGGCAGGTGGATTTAAAAATTCACCTGCCACAGAGACTTTTTACCAGCCACTTTTTTTTTTTTTTGCCTCATATTTTGCCTCAGCCAAAAAATGGCTGGTAAAAAGAACAATATTGTGAAATTCCTGTTTTTTTTTTCACCTTTATATAGACTAAAGGTGAAAAAAAAAACGGGAATTTCACAATATTGTTCTTTCACTTGTAAGAATACACATTTAAGTGCTGTCAAGTAATAATAATAACTCTAAGAACATACATTTTTTAAAATCTTTTTATTCATTGATTTTGACACTCACACAATATGCTAGTATAGGCTATACTCAACAGATAAACCTACCGCAGCTCGTATGTAAACAAATCACACGCGGCTGTGTTGATGGCTGATTTAGTCACGTAGACAGATCCTGCGAGCTTTTAGTTACAGCGTTCAGGAACCGTTAACTATGAACTAAATTAATAATGTTATTACTGGTAAAGTTACCGGGTACCGAATATTTTCTCACTGGTTCCCAACTCCCAACATGCACAGTTGCACACGCACACACACATCTGTGCAACTGTCATTGTACTGAAGGCTACGTCAGCGTTACATTATCTCATCCCATCTCACCAACAGTTTAATACTCGCACATCCAAACGTAGTCAGAAATAGGGCCTCGTCTTCTTCTGATCGCATGAACATTCCGAAACAACAGTCGCTGTCATAAATCAGCGGCTCACGAACCTTGCCATTGCCGCCAATTGTCCACTTTGTATTAAAATATCTTCTTTTACTTTTCTTTTTCTCATCCTCATCTTTTTGTTGGTTGTTTGTTTCAGATGGCCTCTTTACCCCAGTAATGTGCCGCCACATTTTAGCTAAAGTCAAACGCAATGGCGGACTTAGTTGAAATGTAAAAATCCTAATGAATCACTCAATTCTCATTGGCTACCGGCCAATGTGGCAGGTAGATTGACAGTGTTACCCGCCAATAGAAAAATTCACCCGCATTTGGCAGGTGGTCGGGTGTTAATTTCAGGCCCTGCTCGTTACTAACCCTGAAAGGATAATTACTTCTGTTGTATTTTCTGACTGTTTAAGTGACCATTCGATTATTTACTGTGTCTGGAAAATTAAAATTCCAAGTGCTCCACCTAAATACATAACGTTGAGGCAGTGTAAAAATTTGAATATTGACAATTTTATTCAAGATCTAGTAGACATAAACTGGAATAGGTTTCAATTAATTCCTTTTGTTGAGGATGCAACAAATTTTTTTCATTCTGAAGTTACGAACATAATAAATAAACACGCCCCTTTGAAAACTGTTAGAGTTAAACGCAGACATTTACCTTGGATTAGTTCTAATCTTGTTAAACTCTTTAAGCAAAGAGATAAAGCATGGGCTAATTACCGGATATCTAGAGATCCTATCGATTGGGAAAAATACATCTAAATTGGAAACAAGGAATGCAAAAGCTAAGTATTTCAAAGATCGCCTTTCTCAAAACTTTCATAACCCTAAACAGTTTTGGAATCAGCTGAGTAATCTGTTAAATAAAACCAAAAAAAGCTTGATTAAAAATATTAAATTTAATAGTGAAATTATTTCTGATCCTTTACTTATTTCTCAAGCTTTTAATCAACATTTTTTCCTCTATATGTGATTCTCAGTGGTCTGACTCCTATACTTAATAGATCATTTTCTTTTAAGAGGATTACGCCTGTCGAAGTCTACTATGTTATTTGTGATCTAAAAACAAATAGTAGTGCTGGTCCTGATGATTTAGAAGCTAAATTTGTTAAATATGCCGCACATGTTCTAAT